TGCTACAAACAATAGCAATCGGGATAAATCATGTTCATTGAGGAGACTTAGAGGTGAAAGGTCGGTGAACTGTATGACAGATAATTTTATACATGCATTTTATTCCTCTCCCACTCTTTTCTTTCCAAAGTGTTTTGGAGCAGAGAATAGTTTGACTAACGAAAAATGGACTCCAGGAGAAGGAATCTGCTTTCCCAGACTTATAGAGAAGTTGGGAGGGAGCAAGGGACACCCAATCAGAAAGGTTTCATCAGGAACTAGAGACTTTAGGTAATGGTCAATGTAATCACCTCACAGAAGTGAGGATTATCTTAATCTTGGATGTGCGCATCTGGAATTTGTAAAGCAACCACTCTTCCGAGATAAATATCTTGATGGTGTTCCTATGAGACAGCTTGTTGCTAGGTTCCCTGAGGGGAGGCACAGGGGGGTCCAGCAGACCATCTGTTTCTCTTGAGATGACAAGTTGATCAAATTTTAGGATGAAAGTGGAGTGGCAGGGATACCAAATTCAGAATCAGGCTTTTAAAGGATTGCAGCAAGCCAGAAAGATAAAACCTAAGCAGACGCCATTTATTTATGATTTCTTTCTCTTCTTTTCTTTTGCAAATATATCTAAAAACTCCAGCAGCCTAAGTTCACGGTGGACAAGATGAGTTACCTGTGAAAAACTCAAAGGTTTTCTAGGCCAGTTAATACATTAAAATATGTACTAAACAGGGATTAATTTTAAGGACTTAGGAGGACTTAGTTTTTCTTTCAAAGAAAGATAAAGAGCTAGAAAGAATAAAGACCTACTTAAGAACAAAGGAAAATCAATATGAAAATAGCTACTAGGGTTTCTTTTTGTCTGGCCACACTGGGGATGGAACTCAGGGCCTTGTACGTGCTAGGCAAGCACTCTACCGCTGAGCTGCACCCCTACACCCGGCTTCTGCAGCTCCTAACAAGAACTCTGAGGCTCCCCAAGTAACAATAAGCCAATAAATTTACTGAAGATGCTTAGATTTATTCCCAACCTCCCATAACAAAGAAATGCTACAATTTCAGCAATATGACTCTTTCTAAATCAGCAAATTCAAAAGCCAGTGGTTATCAAACATTTAGTTTGATGTATTGCTTGATTTCTTCAACTCTTAAGAGCAGCTTTTATTAAGAACTCTTCTCCTTACGTGCCATGTATAATTCAGCCAATGAATGGAATGTGAGAGTGGGACACAGAGTAAAAGAAGTACAATGTAGATACCGACTCAGAAACCATGTTATTCCAGAGTCAACTTCCCCACCACAATTTTTTTAAAGTTTCAAAATCCATCAAAATACTTAGATAGTATTTTTCATCTTCAGTATCACGAAAGCACTAGATATCAAGCCAATTACTTTCTAAAAAAAATTATGAAAAAGTAAATCATAGAATTCCATTCAATTTTAACTATGTATAATATTTATGAATCCACAAATTGCAAATGAAAAATATGAAAAATCTAATAAAGGTGATTTGTTTCCAACTGGGAATGTGTTCTTGCAAAGTCCTGTTCACCACATATTTTCCTAGGAGCCTGGATAGTTAGCATCATACTTTCACATTTTCAGAACAAGAATGCTGCCTGAGACTTAAATTTTCACGAGTGACTTTAATTTTGACAGTTTTAGCTGATTTCCAAGGATCCAACTGTTAGCCACACACAGAAAAAAAAATCCATTTAAAGTGGCCTAGGAACATCTGCACAACCTGCCCAATTCTGATAACCACCATTTACATCATTCTCATGACTTCAACTTAGATCTTTTGGCCTACACGGTTCTTTCAGTATGCAAAGAACAGCAGTAGGGAAAAAGAAGCTGATAACATAACCAAGAATGTTATAATTTCCAAGTGTTGAAAGAAAACTCATCTAAACATTACAGCAGGGATGATTTTAAAGTAATGTTTGCAGTTTGAAAACTCAAACAAGTATTCTGTGTAATGTGGTAGTGTTTGAACTTAACTGATTATTTGAAGTGTATTTAAAACACAAATTTATATTTTAAAGCATATTTCTATGCCAACAGAGAGGAAACAAGGAATCCTTCTAAAACTCAGGGTAAATATTAAATGATGTGCATGGAGAAGATAACATCTTCATGAGCAGCACAGATAATACTCAGGTCAGCATGGGGCTCTTAGATGGTTCTAAAATAACTAGGCAGAGTCTGAAATAGTCCTTAGGTAGGAAACCAAAATTACCTTCTCTATTACTCTGAGGACTATTCATTTCAAATCTGTTTTTCCCTCTTAAAACTGATTGCAGACCAGAATGTTGGTATTTGGTAAGTTTAAAAATAAGCACAGATGAGGGCAATAATCCTAATAAACATTTTTTGGAGTGCTGAATAATAAATCATTGCCTCTTTTATTTGAAAATATGCCTCAAAGAAGTTGTTAATGCATTTCAAGTTTCCCCCCAAACCAATTTTTATCCACAACCCAAAAACCAATGACAGGGGCTGGGGATTTAGCTCAGCGGCAAAAGCGCCTGCCTGGCAAGCGCAAGGTCATGAGTTCGGTTCCCGGTACTGGAGAAAACAAAAAAAAAAAAAAAAAAAACCAATGACAAAGATGAAGTCCCAAAGAAAAACATTGAAAATATATCTTCCCAGTTTGCCTTGAAAATGTATTCATTTAATACCAGAAGACGTAAGAATACTTATTTTTTTTGCATTCTGTCCTTAAACCTGCAGCAGTAATTAAGTCTAGAACACTGCTACAGTTTTAATTACTACGTGAACATCTCTGTATTATTATCATCATCATCGAGAATGAAAATGTTAGACTACAGACCAAGCCTCACTTTGTGATCTCTCCACCCCATGTGAAATGTTCCAGTAAGTAGGCTAATAGCTAAAACAAAAAATTATTTGCATGTTTTAGCCGTGATGACTATACTAAGGCAGGCTAATATGAAGTCCCTCGCAAGTCCAGCATCTCTTTCAGGGCACCACTGATTCTCAGTGTCTTTTTTTCTACATACCTGCTTCCTACTCTTAAATTTCTTTAGTTGTCCCTAAATTCTTACCCCTTTAGTTTGCATACACCTCCCTTAAGCCTGGAAACGGTGGCCACAAAGAAGGCTGCAGATGCTGCTTCCTCCTGGCCTGCTTTCTCCCTCAATCGTGAGTTACGATCAGCATTTTCTCCTGTATTGCTTTTGGGTTTTTTTCCCTCAGAAGCAATCTGTTCCTTTTCACTGCCATGCCCTACTAGGAAATATCCAGTTTTGCACCTCACTTTGTCAGTGAACTGAAAACTGTGTTTTAATTAAAATCAGGGGCCAGTGAATTAAGAGGAAAAAATCTTAAAATGTATTCATTTTAAGAGGAAGTTCATTCATTTGTGGATGTTATTGTTTAGAGATTTTAAGAACTGGTCTAGATTTCCTAGAGAAATAAATACAAAACTAAAAGCAAACGTAAGTAAAAGAACCTTAACTATGTGGCTAACATGGTATCTTCCAATATAAACTTTCTCCTATTGTTAAGGAAATGCTTTGAAATTCTTTAAAATGTAAATACAAGAAATCTAACTGGCAGTAAAAGGGCACAAACTATAGAGAAAAGATTGCAGTTGTGCTAAGGAAGAGCCCTACTTTGTGTGAAAAAATGTGCGACGTGGCCAGCTTTGACACAGGACAGATGGGACAATAATAGCTTAAATCGAATTCGTCTACTGCAAGATTATCCATTTCATTAGGGATTTGAACTCAGACAGAGCTGTGCATTTTTGCTTATTTTTATTCTCAAAATAATAATATCCTTTCTTTGAGCCTATTTTATTTAAAGTTCTCTATAGCTAAGACTGCTATAAGCTGTAATACCCAGCAGAATCTTTTGTGTGATGCGAAGAAATGGCAAAGTAGATTACTTTTTATGCTGCAACCCCAATGATCTCCCCCTTTCTGTTTCATTTTTATTTAAATCAGAGCAGGACAGGGGGAAAAAAACTATTGAATTTCTCTGTCACACTTAGTCTGTGACCCATGTTAAACTGTTTTTTCCTCAGTGAAAAATATTTCCATGACACATATTTTAACACATAATTTTACATAACAAAGCATGAATATCTATTCATAAAACTTTAAAAAACCCTGACATTGTAGCATTAATTGCTTGAGCATCCTGTGTATAACCAAAGAATTATTTCTTTTTTTTTTCCCCGGTGCCGGGAATTGAACTCACGACCTTGTGTTTGCCAGGCAGGCGCTGCGCCACTGAGCTAAATCCCCAGCCCTGAATTATTTCTAATATTTCACTGAATAAACAATTTTTCTTGTGAAGAATCCACTAAGAGCACAGTGCACTCATACAGGGAAGATTAATCTATGCCTGTTTTTGTTACAGTAACAGTTTACATTTCTCTCAAGAAATTCAAACCTAGGGGCTGGGGATTTAGCTCAACGGCACAGCACCTGCCTGGCAAGTGCAAGGTCGTGAGTTCGATTCCCGGGACCGGAGAAAAACCAAAACCAAAAAAAAACAATAAAAAGAAATTCAAACCTATTACATCTGCCCTAAAACTCTCTTGTAATGATATTAGATAATGTTATTCTCCTTTAGTGATCAAAATGATGGTGTTTGGGAAAGCTGTTTGTAAGCTAGAACGCACCATCATATATAAATTAGTATGATTGTTGGATTACCTATACCTGAGATCAACATGGGACACCTGGAGGCTGTTCTAGTTTGGCTCCTCCAAAGCAGACTCTGAGACCAGGATTTGGATACAGAGTTAGCCGGAGGGTGACCCCCGGTGGCCTAAGGCAGGAAGAGGGGGATGTTAGGTGAGGGAGGAAGTCACCAAAAAGGATGAGCAGTTGAGTAAATATGACTGGACAAATGAAGCTCAGGAGAACCAAGCAGCTTCCAGATTGTTACACTGAGCAAGAGGAAGCTGAGGTTTTTAGTCTCTGGTATCTGTCCTTTATTGGTTAAAGGCTGCCTCTTGAGGTGATAAATCACTTCCTGGATGCCCTGAGCACAGGCTGAAGCAGTTTTGAAGGTGCCTGAGAAAGCCCATGGCGGACTTGCAGAGAGACACTGGTGGTTGCCCAAGGTGAGGAACTGTCTGCATGTGCAAGGCTGTCAACTCCAGGAGCTGCAGATGAGTGAACCCGCCAGCCGGGTCAAGGGCATCTGGGGCATGGCACTTGCTGTGTGTGCTAAGAAGTCAACCCTCAGAGACAGGCTCATGGGCAAAGCCACGAGCAGGCTTCTAGGATGTGATGTGACTGTCTGTCTTGGCCAAGGCCTCTCATAAACACTTAGCACAGATGAAGTAAGCCAGGTGAAATTATCCAGAGTTTCCTTTAATACTGTGTATTGGTGCCCCTGTTAGCTATTTTACATGTTGGCATGGAAGTACCGTATAACCTCTGCTGTTTTGTGAAAATTATTGCTATGGTCACACACATTCTAGTGAAATTTGTTCCAAGCCTAAGCTTTCATTAGAAACAGCCAAACCGGTGTAGTGATGCCTGCAATCCCAGCTACTCAGGAGGCTGAGGCAGGCGTATCACAAGTTCAAGGTAAGCCTAAGCAAGTTAGGGAGACTATGTGCCAAAATAAAATTCAAGAAGGGGCCGGCCATGTCGGATGGTGGTAGAGCACTTTGCCTAGTATACTTGAGGCCCTGGGTTTGACCCTTGGTGTTATAAAGAGAGGGAGGGAGGGAGAGTGAAGAAGAGGGAAGGAGGGGGAAAGAGAGAGAGACTTGTGTGTGTGTGCATGTTGTGTATGTGTGAACTCTCCAGATGATTCTTATGTGCAGCTAAAGTTTAAGGCTTTAGGTAATGAATGAAGAGAGCGTAACCTTGGTTGTAGGTTTCTGTGGCTCCACCAAGCAGTTATGTAAATTTCTATGAGTAGCCCTGTCTCTGGGGCCCTATTTACTCATCAGTACAACAGAGATATCATATCTATGTCACAGCCTTCTCTGAGAATTGAATGGATGAAAAAAAAGTCTGCTGTCATGCCAGACACATAGTCAGTGCCTAATAAGTGTCAGTTCTCACCCTTGCAGCACCGGCCAACTTGTTCTGAAAAGTCCTACTGTGTCTCCGTATACTGCAAAAGGAAATCTAAGTTTTCACATGTAAGTAGGTGCAGAGGATGGGATTGCAAGAACGAACGGAGGAGGACAGGATAGGCTTATTATACTGTCAGCAGTTAGTGAAAGAGACTATAACAAGAACAAACAAGAGCTGAAAATGGAAACAGGAAAACCACCAACTGGCTAAAATATGAGTGTGTGAAGGCTTCTTGTGGCAATGGCCTCAGAGCCAATCCCTGCCCAGGATAAGTGGCAACTGAAAGGTCAGGCCTTACCCTCGTGGCACATCTGTAAGGGGTTTAAGTCCCAGCTGGAAGTACCTTCCAGTACAGCTGAAATGTTTACCAGGGAGCCTGTGCGGCACAGCAGGTGAGGCTAAGAACCCTCCTCCGGATTTCTTGGGTTACCTTTCACTATTATACTCAGTCACTCTTTTTGATTGACTAGAGAACTGTGAGTTTCTTTCAGGCAGGACTGTGTGCCGTCATCAGCAATATCCAGTAGACAGTAGGTTCAACAGCTACCCACCAAACTAAGCCGAGACAGGAACTGAGTCACGGTGGTCCATCTCGAGAGTCTCTGCCAAATGCCAGCCTGAATGCTTTCTTCTTGGTTTCATGAGTACTGAGTCTGTACAATTAGAAAATAGTCTCATGTGAGGGCACAGAGAATTCTACATTCGTTCATGAAAAATGCCAGTCCTCCCATTAGGGTGGCTTTTTTAAAAGAAAAGACAAGAGGTAAGAAGTGTTGATGAGGGTGTAGACTCATTCAGTCTGTGGAAAACAGTATGGAGTTCCTAAAAGATTAAACATAGGACTATGACCTGATCCAGCAATCCCTCTTTGGAGTATATACTTGAAAGGAAACAAAATCAGCCCCTCATAGAGGTACCTGAACCCCTGTGTTCATTGTAGCATTATTCACAATAGTCAAGAAATGGATGCAACTGAGTGTCCATTGATGAGTGAATGGATAAAGGAACTGGAGTTTTATTCAGCCTTAAACAGGAGATCGTTCCATTTGCAACAGCATGAGTGAAACTGGGGGACAGTTGGAAATGAAGGCAGCCAGATATAAAGGGAAAAATACTGCGTGATGTCACTTATGTGTAGAATCTAAGAAAGACATTGAAGACATAGAAACAGAGTAGAAGGAAGGCTATCAAGGGTGGCAAGAGAAATGGGAAGACATAGAGTAAAGGGTACAAAATTGCAGTTATGTAGGATGAATAAATCTAGATAGCTAATGTATAACATGAGGACTATAGCTAATAATATTATGTACTGGAAATGTTTCAAGAGAGTAGATTTTAGGTTCTCTTGTTACAAAAGAGAAAGAAAGAAAGAAAAAGAAAGAAAGGAAAGGAAAGAAAGGAGAGAGAGATGTGACAATTTACTTGCCTGTAGGAATCCCTTTACTTCAACATATATGTTGTACAATTTGGATATGTGCAATAAAAAATAAATTTTAAACTAAGTGTGGTGCACATGCCTACAATCCGTTACTTAGGAGGCTGAGACAGGAGGATGACAAGTTAGGGCCAGTCTGAACAATTTAACAAGACTCTGTTTCAGAATAAAATAAAAAAAAACAAGGATATGGTTCAGTGGTAGAGTGCTTGCCTGGTATGCACAAGCCTCTGGGTTCAATACCCAGCACCACAAAATACATACATACGTACATACATTTAAAAAAAAGAATGCTAGTCTTAAAGAGTTACCATATTGCATAGGAAAGTAGAGGAAAGAGCCACACATAAATGGAGGTATAGCCCCTACTGCTGGACTTCTATCAGTTATGTGAGCCGATTCAGTTTGAGTCATTTTTTCCTCCTGTACCTTGTAACACAAAGTTTCCAGTGGATATAAGTGTATTATGTATAGTTGTATTTTGCACAAAACTCTGGTGAGTGCATTGCCATTAGTTGGATGATGATTAAATCTTCAGTCATTGTTGGAACTTTTCAAAGCAGATGACAAAGCAAGGAAGGACATTAAGTGAAAAAGGGATTTATTGGAAAGGTTTTGGGATAACTCATCACACAGCTGTCTCAGCAGGACAGTGATGAGACAGTGGAAAGATACCCATAGACACAATTAAAGGAATATGTTTTCTTTGATAGCAAAAGATACAGAAATGTAGCTGCAGCCAACAGCCCCACAAAGCAGGAGATGATGCAGCTTGTAACCTGCATTCCTCAGAGATCTCTTGATTCATCATAGATCCTTGGAGGATGGTGAGCACAGAGTGAGAATTGCGCTGTGTGGGAGAAGTTCTCACTCTTTTTTCTCTTGGGATCCTCTAGTCCCTTAGCTCCTTTCTATCATACCAGAGAGCATGGCTACCTGCTTGGCTCTTTGCCAGACATAAGAAAAGGACATAAAAGAATGCTAGCACATTCTACATGTTTCCCATGAGACCGGTGATATTGAAGGTTAATTTATCACCTGTCTGAGGTCTGCTCCACACTCCTAGAACAGAAGTAGATGGACATGCTGAGCTTTAGAGAAGCAAGAAACAGGGTTACCCTGGGAGCCTCAGGGGCAAGATGTGACTCCTCTTGTCCTCGGGACTCTGCCTTCCTCCCATCTCTCTGCAGGTTTCAGCCAGGCTATTGAAGCCTTGCTTGACATAAAGGTCAGGGCCCACATTTTCCCAAGATAGATACAAGAAACAAAAGTTTCCTTGCCCCAGGGCTGATTTGAAACCGTGCAGGGCAGGCCTATGACAGAGCAGGCCTAGGTCATGTCTCCTCCCTTGTGAATTGAGTTGGAGTGGTGGGGCTGGGTGCAGCTCAAGGGCGGATGTTATGATTCACTGCCACTGATACCACACAGTGAGGGCAGTGAAAATGGGCCCTCCAGAAGAGAGAGTCAGCACCTTAGCAGGTGGGGAGGTGGCCATGGAAAATAACCAGATCCTTCTATAACTGTAAGTAGTAAAATCCCTCAATATCCAAATAACCTTCACCACTGACACAATGGCCCTGTTCAAGAAGAGATGCCATCCTTGAGAACCTCATTTCTTAAAGAAAGGTGGCAGAAAGAGTTGTTTTTCTAATTATGTTCGGGACAAATATTGTTCTGCTCCTATTTCTTCAAGAAGGCACTTAAGAACAGAAGGTGACTGTATGGTTCCATTATGCAATGCCCAGAAAAGGCCAATTCATGGAGACAGAAAGTAGATTAGTGGTTGCTAGGAACTAGGGAGCTGGACAACTGATGTGTGTGTATGTATGTGTGGGGGTGATAGCTAATGGGTTCGAGTACATTAGTGCATTTTCCATTTTTATTACAAAGCCTCTGAAGTTGGGTAATGTATGAAGAAAGGAGGTTTATTTAGTGCACTATTTTGGAGGTTGAAAGTCACATATTGGGTCCCCCCATTTGTTCAGGCTCTGGTGAGGGCCTCGTAGCAGAGGCCATCATGGTAGGAGTATGTCCAAGAAGGATGACATGCTGAGACAAAGAGACAGAGAGCAAGGCTTGCCTTTGTATAACAACTCATTCTTGTAAGAACTAACCAGATTCCCAAGAGAACTACCTCCATCTGTTCAGAGAGCAGCATCTCCAATGACCCGATCATCTCCCACCAGGTCTCATCTCTCAAGTATTCTACCACCTCAATGCCTTACCTTTGACACGTGAATCCTTGGGGGTCAAATCACATCTTAACCATAGCAGTGGAATTTATTCTTGGGGTGATGAAAATATCCTAAAATTGTGGTGATGGTTCCTATCTTAGTCTGTTTCAGTTGCTATAACTGAATACCCCAGACAAACTCATTTATAAAGAACAGAAATTGATTTTCTCACAGTTCTGGAGACTGAGGAGTCCAAGATCAAGATGGCAGCAGGTCTGGTTTGTTTAATAAGAGTTGCATCCTCCAGAGGGAAAGACCTTTGCAGAGACAAAAGGACAAGAGATCCCAAGTGCTATGTGAAACCTCTTTCATAAGGACCTTAATCTCATTCATGATGGAGGAGCACCTATGGCCTAATTACTTCTTAGAGACCCCATCTCTTAATCCTATCACATTGGCAATTAAGTTGGTTTTCCTTTATGTTGTTGTTGTTGTTGTTTTGGTTGTTTGAGATAGAGTTTGGCTATGCATTTCTGGATGACCTTGAACTTTGTATAACAACTCATTCTTATAAGAACTAACCAGATTCCCAAGAGAACCACCTCCATCTGTTCATAGCACAGGCCAGCCTTGAACTCCAGGTGATCCTCCTGCCACAGCCTCCAAAGTGCTGGGATTACAGGCGTGTGCCACCACACTAGGCACCATTAAGTTTTAAGACCTGAATTTTGGAGGGGACACATTCAAACTATTAGCAGTACCATAAGTCTGTGGATATCTGAAAAAACACCAAATTGTGCATTTTAAGTGGATAGATTGTATGGTATTAAAATTATAACTCCAGGGCTGGGTTGTAGCTCAGTGGTACAAGCACCTGCCTAGCAAGTGCAAGGTCCTGAGTTCGATTCCCAGTTCCAAAAATAATAATAATAAAAAAATTATAACTCCATAAACTGTTAAACAAAAAAAGAACTGAGAGCTGACTAGTTTTCTTGAAAATAAGTTTAGAAACTTGAGGGGCTGGGGATTTAGCTCAGCGGCACAGCACCTGCCTGGCAAGCAGAGTTCGATTCCCGATACCGGAGAAAAACCAAAAACAAAAAAAAAGTTTAGAAACTTGAAAAAGAAGAAAAGCAGATGAACATTTTCAGCAAGGCAGACACATAACTGAAGACAATGAGTGGAGACAAGATCATTTTCTAATTCAGAGCTATTCCAAGTATAAGCCCTCACTAGCAGCTGCTTGTCCTGGGAGCTCATTAGAAACGCCCATTCTTGCTTCTTACCCCATGTTCTAAATCAGGATCTCTGGGGAATCATGGAAACTTAGGAAACACTAATTTGAATTATTGCTGCTTTTAATAAGCAATAATTGTTCTCTAACAGTGTATAAGATGCTGATGATAGTGCAGGTCAAACGAGATGCAATAGCAGCAATAACTGATTTTTTTAAGAAAATGTTACTTGGACGAAGGAATCTTAATTCTGTTCTCTGCAGATAATGATACCAACATAGCCAGGCCCATTAACAACCGATGCTTACTTGCAGGGAAGGTAGTTTATTTGCTGGAAGCTGCAGCAGCATTTAACCAGATGGATGTGCCTTGAAACCACAAGTATTTCCTACATGACCTGCTGGAAAGATGCCTCTATCATTTTCCTCCAGTGAAGATGCTGAAATTGGTGTGAATGCAATGAAAGCTGAGTTGCAGGTGCAAATTCAGAGATAGTTTTGTCATCTTGAAAGCCAATTACTTGCTCCAATGCATGCCACATTTCCAGATCCAAGGCTTGAGGACGAATTTTATCTCTTGTGATCATGTGAGGCATCATAAGCACAGGACACTTATTAGAAATAAAAAAGAGAGAGCAAGAAAAACAATCTTCAGGCTGCTCCTAAAAATATTCAGAAATTTTCTTCTTTAAGCTCTGCAGAAAGCTCGTTTGATGAGACTGCTTCCGTGAGATTACACTGTCACCTTTGGCTCCAGGAGACCTTGGTAAGTTACTATTTAGGAAGGAAATTTAATAAATCTGTAGCAGAAGCACTAGCAGAACTCCATGCTGGCCAAAAACATCATGTACTTTCTCTGACTCCAATTGAAAGTGACTGTGGGGCTGGGGATCTGGGTTGCCTATCACACACAAGACCTCAAGTATGATCTCTAGTGCCTGGGGGGAAAGTGAATGTCCATTTGGTACAAGGTGGCAGATGTGTGGTGCAATAGGTGATTGACTGCGTCACCCTGTTGTAGTGGGACCTCCCAAGTTTACCCCCACTGTCTAACCAAAACTGTGCACCTTTCCACCATCCCCCCCCCAACAAGACCCCACCTGGCCCTGGTTCCTGGTAATCATTCTACTCTGCTTCTATAAGTTCAACTTTTTAAGATTCTATATATAAGTGAGATCATGTGGTAATTGTCTTTCTGTTCTGGCTTAATTCACTTAATGTAATATCCTCCAGGTTTATTCGCTTTGTTACAAGTGACAAGATTTCCTTCTTTTTTTTTAAACAAGGCTGAATAATGCTCCATTGTGTGTCTGTATAATACTATTTCTTTATCTATTCATCTGTTGATGGGCACTTAGTTTGATTCCCCATCTTGGCTATTGTGAATAATGCTGAAATGAAGAAAATCGTTTTATTTTATCTTTACAGTACCCAGTGTGGGAGAGGAAGGAGCAGCAAGAGAAACTCTGGTATTCTCCTGCCATGGATGTGAACTGGTAAGCAAGCCCATTTGGAAAACAGTTTGGTATTATCTAGAAAAGCAACAATGCACACACCCTATGGCTTTAGTTCTATACTGTAAAGAATTGAAACTCTGGTCCCCATGCACTAGGAGACAAAAAAAAAAAATGGCCATTGCAGCATTATTCAAAATAGCAGTAAACTGGAAACAACCCAATAGCTCATTGGCTGAATAAAGGAATAAATCCATGGTTGTGTAGTTACACAATGGAATACCCTCGAACAGTGATCATGCTAAAACTAGAATTTCACCATCACCATAACTGAGCCTCAGAAGTGTATTATTGAAGTAAAACTCACAGAATATTGAATATAGAATATGAAAAATACATAACATATACAGATATATAACATTCAGATGCAAGCAACTCTAAACAAATATTCTTTAGGAATACATTTATAGTAGATGTTTTAAAACTGCTAAAAAATAAAGGAATAATAAAAAAGAGAATAATTAACAAAATTCACCGTAGTGTTACTGCTGAGGAGGAATGAGATGCAATGAGAACCCTACTAATATTGGCAATATAAACTGGGCATGGTGCATGCCTGGAATCCCAGCACTTAGGAGGCTGAGGCAAGAGGATTCCAAGATCAAGACTACCCTGGGGTACCTAGTGAGTTCAAGGACAACCTGGGCTACACAGTGATATCGCGATATCCATTTCAAACCCTTCCCACCCTTCCTCCAAATGGTAACATTATTTCTTCAACTGAGTAGTGGATACAGATATTTGTTTCATTATTCTCTAAACCTTATATAGGTAATAAAATCTTTTAAAGGAATGCGGGAGCTCATGATGAAGTTTTTGCTTTAGAAATATTATTTTAAATTCAGTTTTGTTGTATTTGTACTGATAATTGATGCATCCTCTTCAATATTTCTCTACTTGGCATAGCAGAGCTTTTCTGTTTAGCAGCTCTAACAATTTTTTCTCATATCGTGCTTTTAAAACCTTTTCAACTGGGGCTGGGGATTTAGCTCAGCAGCAGAGCGCCTGCCTGGCAAGCGCAAGGTCGTGAGTTCCGTTCCCGGTACCAGAGAAAAATGAAAAAAAAAAAAAAAAAAAAAAAAAAAAAAAAAAAAAAAAAAAAAAAACCTTTTCAATTAACAAAGATAATATATAGCCAAGGTGTGTTTCATTGTAATGGGTGGCAGAAATAGTCAAAATCCTAAGGGAAGGATTAGTGCTACCGGAATTTCCAGAGCAGAGCCCTTCAGGAAGAGGTCAGCTTCAGGCAGCCCTTGAAAAGAGGAACCACCTCATTTTTCAAAGCTGAAATGGGTGTTGGTGTTCATCTGCCCCAGCCCTTCCTGTTGCATAGGAAGAAACAGAGACAGAGGGAAGTAGCTTTGTCAGTATTGATAATAACGATGATGATGATACAAAGCTTATTCTGGTTTTTACATTGTCAAATCAATTGCATGGTGGAAGGTTTGAGTGAAAAATTCAAAAGGCGACAGCATTTTAAGAAGTGAAGCCATGGCCTTTGTTTCTCTTTCTGAGTCTTTGCCTGCCTCTCTGCTCTGTGTATGCTCTCGGCCTTATTCAAGGGGCCCTGAGCTGGTTGTGAACGAGTCCTTTCCTCTTGCCCTCTTGACCCTGGCGGGCGCTGCCTGCTGTCTGAGACAGTGCAGGCCTGGCCGAAGGTACTGTATTCCAGTGTCGGACTCCTGGCCCCACATCTCCAGAGAGTACTAAGGGCTGGAAGCCATACGTGTCTCATCTCATCTTTAAAGAGCTGTCTCCCTTCACCATCTTAACTCATGTAGCTGTGACAGCGTCAGAGAATTCTAATTTCCTCTCCCACCCTTAAACCCCACCGTATTATGGAAAAAAAGAAGAAATGGAGATTCAGAAGGTCATTTGCCCAACGTCACATCTTCACGAATGGCAGGTTCCAACTCAGAGCTGCCTGGCTCCCAAGTATGTGCTGTTTTCACTATAACCCAACTGACCACGAGCGAACTGTGTTTTTTTTTTGACATTCTATCTGTTTAATCCTGTTTTCCTCAGTCTTGAACTAGCAATTTATTTATAGTAACTTTCCATGGTGTTAGTGCTTCACTGAAAATAAAGTTGCTAGATTAAGCACTAAGCAATCGTTGGGACCTGTTTATACTAAAAAAATATGTGTCACTTATCTGAAATGTAAATTTAAGTGGACATCCTCTATTTTTAATTTGTTAAATCTGGTAACCCTAACCAAAAGTCTTTGAGAAAATATTTTATCATTTCTAGTAAGTCTAGCTCTCTCATAAGGGAAAAGAAAAACACATGGGATAAATTGGCTACTGAGTAAGGATCTTAAAGAAGTCTTTTCAGATCTTACCTGGGGGTTAAGAATTTGCTCCCTAAAACTGTCAATGAGTCTTTGGTTGACCAGTATTGCATGTCTATATCTGTTTTCATGAGAAGCCACTTTGAAGATATCAATATGTAATACAACCATCA